AGGTTGCTTCTTCTAGTTATTGCTTTTCCCAATTTGTTTGCTCGTCTGGGGCAAAAATTCGAAGACTTTGTTGTGCCGACTACAGTCAATCCGGGGCAATCACGTCAAGAGTGGACGATTTCCTCTATAAGTTTGAAGACACCAGGGCATGGCGAACGCCAGGTCTTTTGTAAATCCCCTTGAGACGTTTTCTCCTCATCAACCTTTTAGCTTGGGGCACTTTGGAGAAGTGCAGCTATTCGCAAGAATCGTCGTGCGTCATGCAGCTCGTCAGCAGTGATTTGGGGCACCCAATTTGGTCCCCGGGGCAATCTAGATTTGTCAGAATGTGTGCTAGGCATTGCACACTTTATCAGAGGGTGGTGTTCCCAGTCTCCAGCTAAGCATGACTCCTTCCAGCAGAAGATTTGTTCGTGTTGTCGATGATAGAAGATGGGACTTTGGGTTGAATATCTTCCTCTCCAGAGATTTAAGCCTTGTAGAAGGATTTTACAGCGTTGTTGGCTTTTGTCTTCTATCTCCAGTGATGTTCCCCTCCTGTTGAGATTAGCCGAGCATCGGGTTGTACTGTGATGTCTTATCATCTTCTGTCCATCTCCCCCGTCAGTTTTGTCAGCATATACATGACATTCATGACATTCATTCACACTTGCATCACGCACGCACAGTTGTATTTGTTGATGTCTTTGAATTCGTACACCTTGGTTGTGTCTTTTCAAATAGCACATTTGATCTTTCCAAATAGGGTGTCAACTTAAGCATAAAGTGCGCCTCCTTTCTAATTCCCCAACTGAGCTAATCCTCGTGGATGATTTTTGATTTAGCTTACCTTGTCCATTTCTGGATAGGATAATTTCCCCAATCGATTTACTTTCTCATTGGGAGGAGTCTTGTTTGACTGTTTTCTCTCTGGTTATTCCTGGATGAAGTGGCTGCCTCTTGCATAGGCTATCTCATTGATTTTCCCCAGTGAGTTTGCGACCAAGACGACTGGTGCATTTATTTTGCACGTTTAAGTATATGATCTCCTCGGGAAGGATTGATTCAGGGTTCTCTTTGACGAAGATTTTATTCTCTGCCAATATCATTGCAATTTCCTTCTGAATTATGTTGGAAAACAACAAGCGGTAGCTCTTCATGAGCAATTTGTACGTTTACTTGTCGAAAGCGCCAAGCAGCAGTTCTTCATGAGCTACTAGTGCGTTATTTATTTTTCTGAAAACGCCGAGCAGCAGTTCTTCATGAGCTACTAGTGCGTCAGTTATGACTTTGTGAAAGCGCCGAGCAGCAGTTCTTCATGAGCTACTAGTGCGTCATCGTCATTTTATCTTTCGGAAAGCGCCGAGCAGCAGTTCTTCATGAGCTACTAGTGCGTCATTTTTATTCCGTTGGAAATCGCCGAGCAGTAGTTCTTCATGAGCTACTAGTGCGTCATTTATCTGTTTCCAAAGCGCCGAGCAGCAGTTCTTCATGAACTACTAGTGTGTCATTTACTCTTTTTGAAAGCGACAAGCAGCAAACTCTTCATGAGTTACCGTTGCGTTATTACTTTTCTTCGGACGACAGCAAGCGGCAGCCTCTTTATTTGAGCAACTCGTATGTTATCAGTATTTTCTTCGGAAAACAGCAAGTGGTAGCCTCTTTATTTGAGCAACTTGTATGTTATTGGTATTTTCTTTGGACGACAGCAAGTGGCAGCCTCTTTATTTGAGCAACTCGTATGTTATCGGTATTTTCTTCGGAAAACAGCAAGTGGTAGCCTCTTTATTTGAGCAACTTGTATGTTATTGGTATTTTCTTTGGACGACAGCAAGTGGCAGCCTCTTTATTTGAGCAACTTGTATGTTATCGGTATTTTCGTCGGACGACAACAAGCGGCAGCTTTTTTATTTAAGCAGCTTGTGTGTTATTGGTATTTTCTGCGGACGACAACGACTGGCAATTTTCTTTATTTGAACAACCTTCGTATCTACAGTCTTATTACCTCAGCATTCATGAGTATACCTCTGAAATCTAGCAGAGAAGTCTGTTACGAATCTATACCTCCAGAAGTCGGTAATCAGTTATCCGCAATTTGATACTCTCTGTCTATCGTCGACCTCGATTTGCGAATTCACTGTGTTGGATCAATGATTTGTTATGGCCTATGCAAGATGCTCTCTTTGTTAGGGTTAGAGGTTGTGTTCCCTCGTTTTTATTCGAGTCGGGAGTCTGTCGTTTGAAGTCGATAGCTTGTCTCCCCAGTAATGTATAATCCGAACCGCGGTGTTTTGTTGGTGTTCGATTCCCCCAACATTGTCTTGTTTCACACAATATCTTTCTCTGTGAATTCATGCACTGCATTCATATCACTGCATGATGACGGCATCATAGGACAAAATTTGCGTAGTTATGTATTTAAGTACCTTCAATCTTGTCGAAACGAAGATTTCAAATCTTCATATCTCCGGATTGAAGGAACTTAAATAGGGGCAGCTGTTGTACCCCAAATTTTGACCTAAGATACCGTCTTCCATCTGCATCATTCGCATTGCAAGAGTTTTGACCTATTTTATCAAATTTTCAAAACAGTTTAAAAATTCATAACTTTTTCGAGTCGGGAGCTGTTTATTTGTTGAACGCTAAATTTATTAACTGATCAAGACTTAAACAATGTTCATTGCTTATTTATTATCTTAAATTCAAATAATTGGAATTTATTTTCGATTATTACGTAATTTAAAGATTTATAAATAACAAAACAAATATTTGAGAAGAGGTTTATTAATGGGTCAAATAATGTTTATTAATTATTCATTATCTTAAATTTAAATAATGGGAACCTGTTTTTCGTTATTATATAATTTGAAGGTTTATGAATAATGAAATAAACATTTGAAAATGAGTATATTAATTGATCAAGCAATGTTTATTTGATTATTTATTGTTCTAAATTTAAATAGCTGAAATTCTATTTTTTAAGTTATTATAATTTAGAAGAATTAAAAATAATAATCAAGTAAATAATTGAAGTTATTAATTGATCAATGATGTTTATTTATTTGTTTATCATTCTGAATTTAAATGATTGGATTTGATTTTCAGTCATTATATAATTTAAAGAGTTATAAACAATAAATAAATGATTGGAAAGAAAAAGAATTAATTGGGAAATAATAGAATTTTTATTCACTTTATTCTATTTATTACAATTGTTGTTTAAATACTATTGTACAAAGTATTTATAATAACCATTACATAAATGCTTAAAGTAAATAAAACTATTTTCCTAAATTCTAATTCTAATCTTCTATCCAATACTCTTTGTCTGCTCATTTAATTTTACCTGCGAAAACAATTAAAAGAAAGTCAGAATTTAATAAATAATTAAAATGCAGAAAAATAAATTCAATGTTCATCATTAAAAGCAGGCGGCTGGAATCAGTTTACCCTTTTTTTGCAAATCACGGGATTTCTCCCGGTTCACAAAAAAGGGAGGAATTTTTGTTTCATAAATGAATGCACAGTTTAAAACATGCACAAATTCATTTTTATTTTTCAAAACTGCATATTTAAAATTAGTTGCATTTTCCAAAAATCCAATGCATATTTCAAAAAAAAACACACAGCATACAAAGTAACAGCATATGCATAAACATGCATTGTTCAAAAGGCAACGTGAACCTATGCAACAACTTGAGAAGAGTCCAAAAAATTAGGCTCCCATGCAAGACAAAGAGTAATATGCAGCTTAAATCAATGTGTACAAGCAAGTGTTTTCCTTTTTTCATCATCTTCCAGCCTGCTTTTTCAGAATACAGTAAAGTACATATCACATTTATATATATCATTTCTGTACTTGGGAGAGAGAGAGAAGAGTTTCAATTTTGCAGGTTTTGGCTTAAGCATGAATTGGGAATAAAGTCAACTATATAGCAGCATATGTGAAAGCATCAGGAAATATTAAAATACTAAAAACCTGAACCATCTTAAAAAAAAAAAAGAAGAAGCAACGGCTATTTTGGGGGATCCCTTCAAAAAGAAGTGTGAACTTGCATAGTAAATGGACACCAAAAAACATCACTGCCCCTAGGCAAAAAACCATCTTCCAAGCATATTGCCAAACCATACTGCATGTTTCATAACCTGCATATTCTAAAAACCTGCATGTTTAACATCCTGCATATTCTAAAAACCTGCATGTTTCACATCCTGTATATTCTAAAACCTTAGCATATTTCAAACATCCCGCATATTCTAAAAACCTGCATGTTTCAAAGCCTACCATTCAAAAAACCAGAATCACTACAAAACTACCAAAAATATATTCCACTTCCACACCATAACCATCACTTGCTTAAGCATTTGCAAAAAACCTGCATACTGCTATCCTAAACAGAACCTACAACCATATCATTGGAAAACCATTCCCAAACAGAATTTGCATCAAACTATTCAAAACCCAAAAACATTCAAAAAACTGCATATTACTATTTCATAACCTGCATATTGCATAAAACTATTTTCCAGCATATTGCAAAACCATAACTTGCATACTGTAGCAAAACCTTAGATAAACCGGTATAATCCTAAACCATCCAAAAAAAATCAATTATTCTTATTTCAACCAGTTTTAGACGAAGAAGGAAAGAAGAATTAGTGGCAGAAAGCAAAGAGCGAGGAGTTTTCGGAGCTTACCTGACGTCGCCGGAATCGTAACTGTCGGACTAGCTCCGACCATGTGAGTTTTTCTTCAGTTTTTTTCGCATAAAGCTTTATACCGCTGCGTTGCCTTTGTCTCACTTAATAATACTCTCTTTAATTTCCCGAAATCATGTAAAACGGCTATTTAATATCATTGCGAATCATCAATACATCCATCCTCTCTCTCCTTATAAAAAAATCCAATTCATGGAACCAAACACTTGACCATAAAGATTTGACCAAAAAACTCTTCATTCAAAATATTCTCCTAATTTAAAATTGAATCCGAAAACTTGTAAGACTGTTCGGCGTAACAAATGGACATAGCTATCTTCTCTCCATCATCCCTTTTCTTCGAAGAACAAGATGACGTTCACACCAGCGTTGAGGAAAACGCAGAGAATCAGGAAAGCTTTGTCGAGAGGAAGCATCAATTTCCTGGAATGGAGTTGGTTATCCGAGAGTTTTCCTTTCATCAATTGAATGCTAATTTGCTCTGGCCTGGAACTTTTGCATTTGCAGAATGGTTAGTTCAACACAAATCATGCAAATTGATATTACAACTTCAGATTATGATGATCAAGAGATATTGGAAAACATAGCTCACAACTGTAGTGCAAATGATTTACCTGTCATTCCTCATATTAAACATACCTGGGGAGACAAGTTTCCAAATTCTGACCCTGATTGGGACCTGATCATTGCGAGTGACATCTTATTGTATGTGAAGCAGTACCCGAATTTGATACAGACCATTACATTTCTTCTCAAAAGTTACAAACCGAGAGAGAGAAGAACTACAGTTTCGCAAACTGGGAGTGATGACACCAATGTTGCAGGAGATGTAGTGTTGCCTTGGCCAGCTTTTCTGATGAGCTGGAGACGTAGAATTGGAAAGGAAGACGAATCGATTTTCTTCAACGGTTGTGAGAAAGCTGGTCTAGAAGTAAATCATATTGGATCCCGCGTATATTGCATCAGTCTCATTGAAAATGAGGAATCAAACAAATGCTTGAAGAAAGAAGATAGTGTTCAAGTTTCCTCAGGAAGAAAATGAAGTGAAACTTAAAAGTTTGTTCTATTTAGAGAGTCTTTTTAAGGGCCATAGTCAGCTTCACTAGTTTATTTTGCTGCAACTAGTAACTGTTAGCAATCATAACATAACCATTATGAAGTTTATTGAAAATATTTTATATCGAAAAAAAGCTATAAACAGAAAAGGTTAGAATAACTCACCTGACCGGAGAATCCTTCCTCGCCGAAAAACCTTCATCTTCGCCACAACACCATCTGTAACCGAGCCATGTACCAATCGCTAAGCACAAATCACTTCAATAGAAAACTAAGGCTACACTAGGTTGAGATCCCCCTGTTTGCAGTTTACAGTTAACCGCTTAAGGTATCTAATCCGAAGCGGAAATCGTGATTCTTATTAGATGCAAATATAATCCATTGAGAAAACGGAGGGGGATTGACATACCTGATGTCAGCTTCTATGCCAAAGATTATTTCTGCTAATCACTTTTAAAACACTGGTACAGAAATCATGTAGGTATTCTTCCGGTAACGGCCTCAATTCAATTTGAGAAATGAAGGGATTGGCATCCTCCTTCAATGCAGAACTCGTAAAAACTCACAGGAGGTCAACTTCAACCACCAAAGAAGCAGTAATATAAAGAAAAGAAACAAAAAATTACCACCATACCTGTTCTACATCACTCTCGAAGTCGACTCATAATGGGAAGAACACAGTGAATTTGCAACACAAGGTCAACACGGGAGGTGAGTTGTTCACCAATTCAGATTCAGTCACTGGGATTTTTCAAGAAGAACTCTGAATATGTCTCAGCTTCAAATAGAGTCATGGATCCAACGCAAATCCTTGAGGCTTGTGTCGTCTGACCCAAAACCCTACAACAACAATTTCAATGGAATTTTCGGGAAGATACCGAGAAACGAAGTGGATCGGAACAAGGAGGAAGAAGAGGGATCCAGCGGCGGCGGCCTTGGTGCCTTCAGTTCCTAGGTTTTCTTGTTACAAGCTTTGTGTTTCTCTTCCTGGTCCTCCCACGACCCGACCCGCTCCACTCTCCTCAACCCAGTTCATTTCTTTTTCAGCCTAAGCCCATTTTCTTTTTACACTTAAGCCCATGCATTTGTTATTTGTTTACCCCCCTTTGGTTATTGTTACCTCTTTTTCTACTTTTAATCTCCTTAGCCTTTTTTAGATTATTGTCAATTTAGTTAACTTGGTAAGATCTAATATAAAAAAAAAGAGATATAAGTTAATTAAACATTTTAATAGCTTGACATTTTTTTATTTTTATTAATTTAAATTTTAGGATTAATCTATTAATTTTAGTTTTTTTAACTAGATTTAATTTAAGAGCTTAAAGATTTAATCTAATTGTTTAATAATTCTTAAATAATACTCTGTGTTATTAATAAAAACATAAAAAATGAAAAATATAAAAAACCTTAAAAAACATTTCTATTAATTCTCGTCCATGTTAAAATGCGTAACCAATTAAAACTTTTTCTTTTCGCATATTAAACAAAAATCATATAAAATGCATGTTCATATTTAATTGTTGTGTATCGTTTTCTGTCAATATCTCGCATTTACTTGATTATTCTGTTTGCGTCAATCCAAAGGGAATTGTCTAATTTTTGTTGACTTCATGTCCTCAAAAACGATCGAGCGAATACTCTCATTCATTAAAAACTTAGGTTAATTTTCCTCAAATATTCACCTTTCTTCAAAATTTCAACCTTTTCAAGACTCATCCCTTTTAAGCCAAAACTTCGACATTAGGTCGTCGTATCTTCAAAAAAAACCGTCCGTATCCCTTTTTTCGGCCAAAACGATTTATTTTCAATCAAGCGATCAATTTTAAATAAAACAGATATTTCAAAAGGTTCCTATAGAGTACTATAGATGCATTGGGTGCTAATACCTTCCCATTGTATAACCAACCCCCGAACTCTCGATCTCTTTTCAAGAACGCTTTGTATTTGTATTTTATTTACATTGCATATTTAGGGTTTTATTTCGCTCTTTCCCCTTTTCCTTTGGAAACAATAAAGCGCGGTGGCGACTCTTGCTTTTGTGAGACGAATTAATCAATAATTCGATCTCCGATTTACCCCGCTACATTTTTTATCGCTACAGTGGTTAGATTGTTTTCTGCCAAGATGTTATCGTTTCGAATTCTATGAACGACAGCATCAGCATCTTGATTTCGACCAACCATGACAACCCCCCTAGGTTGTTCTTCTCGAAACTCTGGGGCTTCTAGCCTTTCGACCTTTGCCCCTGGTTCCATAATTTCTCTTTGTGGGCCTGGGATTATTGGGGCTTCTAGCCTTGGTGCCCTTGCCCCCAAGTTAACTTCTTCTCTAGGTGTTCTATAAATTGGGTCGTTAGCAACTTGTTCCATAACAGGCATGTTTGCTCGAACTCCCACCTGATTCTGCCTACGCCTTTCTGGAGGAGCAAAGAAATCTGCTATTCGACTCATGTTGTCAGCATTTTCCCTGTTTGTCACAGTCACATTTTGTACTATTGGGGCAAATATTTCCTGCATAGTTTGTGCTAACACCCCTATCATATTATGGTTACTGTCATCCATCAATTGCCTAAAAGCCAACTGGTTTTCTATGGTCAAAATAGGCATTGTGCTATAACCCACTGACCCTTGGTTACTTGTCGTAAACTGATTCGCCCCAGACCCAGACCCTAATTGTGGTGATGAGTTTGATGTGGAATTGTGTAAACCTGCCATAAAAGATGTTGGCATTCCATAAGAGGAATTTCTGGTTCTATTACCATCGAAACCGGGTGGTCTAGTTAGTGGAGTGGCGAAATGAGATTGTGTCCCTGATGGTGGAACAAATCCCCCAGGATAACCAACGGTTCCAGTATTTCCTAAGATCGAACTATTAGTTGATATGCCACTTACTCCATTGGTGGCTATATTACTGGTTGAAGATGCAACAGACTGTGCATTCGAAGGGATCACATTAGATGTTCCCATCGAAGTGGACACATTAGTGCCTGTTGTATGTGGGGCATTTTGTTCCCCTTGTTGATTGTCAGAATTAGACATCTTGTTCAAGCGTTTTCTTCTGGATAAGGGTTGGTTGCTGTTGGTTATTTTACCACTTCTTAGGTTCATAAAACAGCAAACTTCTTAGGTTCTAACGTTTTTATAATGGTTATGTCTCAACAATCTTTATTTCTAATGTCCAATTATTGGTCCCACCGGGTGTGCCAATTTGTTTCCAGTGATTTCTGGGAAACAACCACTAGTCTTCCAAACTATCGAATAAACTTACTGACTGTTATTCAATTTCTCTGGTAACTCGCAGGATCGACTAGATTGATCCTAGGACTTATTGGTCATTAGGGTAACTCTCATGATCGAACAGATATTCATGGTTGGTATTTAGAGTGTTGTGTAGGTGTTTGGATTATTTCGATTTCTCTCTTAAAGATCTAAAGGTGTAATCAAAATATATGTGCGCGAAACTAAATTGCATGAATAAATGTTAATTGTAAAGACATGTAAAATTGCATAAAAGACAAGTAAATGGCTTCGAATTATAAAAACAGTTAATGTAAAAGATGCTCTGGAATGTAAAAGATTCGAAATATGAAGAAAGAGTTTAATGCAAGAAATCTGTAAAATGACTTTAAGTAAAAATAGGCGTTTGAAAGATAAAACTTGAAGATAAAGGCATGAAAAGTATGACAGTTTTCTGAAATGTAAAGTGTTTGAAATGTAAAGAAAGCATTAAAATGTAAGGCTTCAATGAAAAGATTTCGAATAAAAAGACTTTAAATGAGAAAACTTGTAAATGGTATTTGGCAGAAAGATAAAGGAAAGTACTAGAAATGATAAAGGGTTTTCATTAAATCATAAACATGTGGTGCTATCATACGTACATTGCTCTTGCATTCGTTTCCCTAGCCATGTGGTAATTTGAATGTTTATTGAGTATTTAGTACAATAGATATGACACACGAAATCCTAATACTAAGACTTCTATTTATACTACTTCGACCATAACGGTCTTGCTATAAGATTATGCCACGTTCAGAACATGCAGAACAATGCCTCTCTCTTGTTTCCACATGTCTCCAAATGCTCCAGCACATAAATTTCAAACTTCGAATGTCCCGCTTGCATTTGAATTTCAAATGTTTTGGTACTTCTCCGCTTCGAACGCACCTCTCAGACACAGCCTTGTTGTCATTTCGAGACTTCTTTAGATATGTTCCCATAATTGCCACTCGAAGCTCCAAGATTTGATATGCTTATTCGAAACACTGCTTCTGCTACTTCGAAACATGACGCTTTGTTTCATTTCGATCGAAACATTCAATTCACTTGGCTTCTAATAATATTATCAAAATCTTCAGCCAACACTACCCTACATTTTAATTTTGTCGGTAATCCTTTTGGAGATATAATCAGAACTCCGACACCAGTTCCATTTTTATGGCTCGACCCGTCAAAATTCAATTTCCAAGGGTCATTGTCTACCAAATTCACTGATGGTTCTATTATGGCATGATCGGCTATAAAGTCTGCCATGATTTGGCCTTTCATGGCTTTTAAAGGCATGTAAAATAATGAAAACTCAGTTAAAGCTAGTGCCCACTTACCAATTCAACTATGAAAAATTAGTTTGGACAACATATGTTTAATGATATTACAATGAGATGAAACATAAACATCAACAAGTTTAATATATTGCTTAAGTTTAATACATGAGAAATACAAACAAAGTCATAACTTTTCTATAATTCTATACCTAATTTATGCGTCTATCAATACTCGACTAAGGTAATAGATGGGTCTTTCGACTCCATTATCATCCTCTTAGGCTAACATGCTCCCTATTGTCAAATCAGACGCAACTATGTATAATCTCATGGTTTTATTTCGAATAGGCGGCAATAAAACAGGAGGCCTTGTCAAGTATCATTTTATCGCGTAGAAGGCCTCTTGTTGTTCCTTTCCCCAATGAAAGTCGCTTTCCTTCTTAATC